GTATTGATTGTTTATATTGTAGGAACTTAAATTTTGAAATAAAAATGAGCGGTCCCCCTGTTTGTTTAGGAGCAACAGCACCTTGTTTATACCCAATAAATTCTTATAATAGCACCATGATTGTAGTCACGACTGCTTGCTAAATTCACGTTTCCGACGATTGTTCTTTATTCTACTCTGAGAAATGGTCCAAATTTATTTTACACAAAGAAATTTATCACTCAATTCAAAACAACAGAAAAAAAATGTTAGGTCACCATACTCGTTTGCGAGAAAATGACGATTTACCTCTATAGCGAGGTCCAGCCGTAAAGAAAAAGCCGCCATTTATTAATGCGCGCGCGCTAGTCACGCGTGAAATTACGCGCAGTAGGGATGCGCAATGCAATACTGGGGAATGACCTTAACACGGGCACACCAGATTAATACGGCACTTGAATGTTCCTTTGGTGTCCATGATAACCGGATTCCACTGTATTCACATAGGGATGCGTGTAACATAAAATTGATAGGAAAGAAATTTAGGTGCATGACTTTCATTAAAATATCTGTCTCTTTCTTGGATGTTTACGCGAGAGAAGATGAAGTTAAGTGTGAGGCGCGGACCCATAAGCTTAATCCCCAAAATGGAGGGTCAGAGACTATACTTATAATTACATTATTTTCAAAAAGTTTTGGACGATATTAATTTCAGCCCAAAAAAATGTCCGAATATAAAGCTGTCCGACATTTTCAAGCTTCCGCACGGTACAAAACTTCTAAATAGCTCCAAGGCCGGTAGTTTCCTGTATGGAGCGAACTCTAATTGGGACACTGTTTGAGATACATAGCCACTTGATAGAATTTTTCTTATTTTTCCGTTCCGTGTATCTGTAAAACCTTGATGGTGCAGTATATCTATTAATTTCGCAGAAGTTGTTTCAGTCTAAGACGCGTTATGGGGGCGTAAATTCACGTTATTTATGTTTCAGCAAAGTGTTGGAAACTTTGTCAGAAATATGTCGAAAATGAGATTAAAAAAGTGTCCTAAATAAATAAAAAGTGCGAAATTTTAACGTCCGACATTTTTTGCAAGTATACGTAACGTAATTACATCATTTT